AAGCCTTAATTTAAACTTATAACAAAGGAAATATACTTCTAAGATAGAGTGATCCAACATCCACCCGGGAGTCTGCATAGCCTCAGGGAATTGTGTGAAACAGGTATAAATTTTCCATACATTTGTGTTGTATCTTGGTTTCTGTAGAGCTGAAGGTTAGATATCCACACAGGCACACACAAAAGCAGTGAAGGCTCACAGGTGACAACAGGCATCATCCAGGTCCCTGGGTACTGACATAATTATGCATAGGCACGACACACGTTGCATTTCCTTTGATGGCAAGGTATGGAGTCCATACCACCCATAAGCACCCATCTATACCTGTATGTATAGATTTATACAGAGGAATGCAACCAAAGTATGCATTAAAAAAAAAAAAAAAAAAAAAAAGCAAGAATATTAAAAAATCAACCACTGACATGCTAGGAAACACCAGCTTGAATTATTCACTTTTCCTCTACCTCTATCATTCCTTCTACATTTGAAAATCACACCTTTTGTTCTTATTCCTTTGCCTCATTCAGGACAAATGGGGGCATTGTCCTTCCTGAATCATGGACCTGTATTTTGCTTACTCCTGCTTTCCTGCAGACCTGCTGAAGCTGGTGGGTTTTCCATGGTGCTCATCAACCTGCATCCAAGCTCTGCACAAGTGATGGATTTATCTTCACAACACATCTTTGAGGAGTGAAGGAGTTATTTTCTGTTCTCCAGATTTAGGGATGGGAGGAAGTGGAAGAAATGAAGCACTGGATTTCCAGTTCAGGTTGAGATAAACCCTGTACTTCTAAAGAATTTGGTATTCTGAAGGATTAATGCAGGCATGAGATTCTCTGGCTTAAAATGTCACTAAGAGTACTGCACATTTCTGCAAAGCAGACTTCAGAGTGTGAAATTTGGCATCTCCAAAGGGTATGATCACACATTTAGCACCTGTTTCCATGTGACAAGACTAGGTTGAGTTTTCCAATGCCATAGAGAAAACCTTCGTGAAAGAAGTAAATATAAACAGGACATTTTAAAAGGTTTAGTTTGCAGGTTCTTTCAATGAGAACTCCTTCTGGTCAGTTATCCCAAACATCTCTCAAGTTCTAAAAAAAACAAAACAGTTTCCCTCTAGTCCCTTCATCACCCATCCAGATTATTCTCCTGACAAGTCTTGAGAGAATCAAGAGTCTTAGTGACCAAAAAGGAGTATGGCAACATGTGGTCTCTGTCTATGTGTGCGCTAGGAATACAAGTTATTCTGAAAGGAAAAACAACCTGTGCTGAGAACCCAAAGACCATATTTTGGAGGAGTTGCTTCAGTGTAGTTTTAGTCTAGCCCTGTGGCCTGAGTTCCCATGAATATAGTAGCTGGAGGTCCAAGGAAACCATGCTGCATGAGCCAAGTTAAAATCTCACCACTCTAAGGTGGAACTACTAGGAAATCACTTCAAAAATACCCTGCTAAGTTGAACCTAAATGCAGGTCTAGATACATCCTAAGAGAACCCACAATTCAAAAGCAGGAGAAAAATTCAAGTTTTGAAGGTTGTGTTAACTACAGCATTTCTGTTTTCTTCAGTCTAAAAGCAATGAGGCTGGTAATCTTAGAAATATCCCTTCAATACCACATCTGTGCCTGTATGAGGACATGTGTGCTGCCACAGGACCAGTGCAGCTAAAAAAATTACCTAAGATCACAGAATCCTAGAATATCCTGAGTTGGAAGGGACCCAGATGGATCATCGAGTCCAGCTCCTGTCTCTGCACAGGACACCCCAGGAATCACACCATGTGCTTGAGAGCATTGTCCAAAGGCTACTTGAACTCAGGCTTGGTGCTGTGGCCACTTACCTGTAAGCCTGTCCCAGTGCTCAACCACCCTCTGGGTGAAGAACTTTTTCCTAATATCCAACCTGAACCTCCCTGACTCACCTTCATGCCATTCCCTCAGGTCCTCTGACAGGTCACCAGAGAGGAGAGATCAGTTCTTGCCCCTGCACTTCTCCTCCTGAGGAAGCCGTAGACTATGATGGGGTCTCCCCTCAGACTCCTCTTCTCTAGGCTGGATAAATCAAGGTGATAATGCTGAAAATAATACTTAGGATGTCTTGATTCAAGTCTTATTGCATTACTCATGAGGAGCCTTTCCATTGATGTCAGTGGTTTTGCTTGGATCTTGAGTAAAATGTAGCTACCAAGAACACATCAACACAGCAGCTATTACTCACTTAAACTACCAGAAGGAATTTTGCCTGCAAAAAGACCACAGGATTTGACCCCACTAATGACTTCCACGGTGTTTTCTTCACAATATAGATTACTGAAGTAGAGCCATGACTCAGAGGGATTTCCTGCTCCAACCTGCCTATCATCAGCTCTCCCCTGCAATTTCAGCAATGAAGAAAGGCAGAGGTGCCATTCACAAGATGTTTGCCCAGGAACAAAAGTTCTCAGCCTTTTCTGTAAAGCAGATTTTACTCATTAAAAGGAAGGAAAAAAAAAAGCACCCAAGCAAACAAACAAAACAAAGCACACAAAAAAACATAACAAACAAAAACACACAAACAAAACCCTTCAAGACATTAAAATTCTGGAATATTTACTAAGAGAGATTAAATAAAAAAAAATAACTGAGAAACTGGTAGAACACTCTTTAATTTAGCATCTCATGCAGTAGTTGGGGGGGGATGTGATCTGAGGGATTCTGTTCATCCTCCTCCTGACATCGAAATATAAGATAACTGATGTAAGAACTCTCTAGACAAACTGTATATGTTTCCTAGAGTATATACAGACAGAGTGTCTCCATTTGTGTCCTTTTCAGGATGCTCATTCTCTGGGCTGGCCCCAATCCTGCTTCATCTCACTCAATGCCCCTAAGACCTGTGAAACAACATCAGAAAGTAACTGCAAGAAAGTGTTTCCACTTTTCAGGAAAAAAAGCATTAGAGAGAAAAACTCAAGAGCCAGTTTCATCTAAAGTAAATGGAAAAATAGAACACAACAATGGACAAGTGAAAATTCTGCTCTGCAAATCCCCCTCTAATTTTCACTGCTGTTGAGGTCCTGGAATCAATATCTTAGTCCAACTGCAATCTGTTGGTGAGTGAAAGGAGGGAAAGTTTGTAGCATCACGAATTAAAAAATAATAATCTCTCAAGCTTAATATCAGCAAAGATGATTATTTCCTTTCATTTGTCAGGCTAATTGAAAATAGCTTTATAGTTTGCAGATGATTAATTAGGAGCCAACAAGATCTCCATTTGCATCTCAGTAATTCTTCACTCTGTTTTATTTCAACGTTTAGTCTTTATGCTTAAAATATTAACTGAGAAAGCAGAAAGGTGATTAACATAAGATTTTAAATGTGTGCCATTTGTTCTGACTTTTTTTTTTTTACACATTTTTGTCAACAGAGGAGAAAGGAAAGAATATACAACATTACAAAACAATTACTGCCTGTTCCGCTTCCATCTGCTAAATGCTCCTTTATGGTAGACATGGTTTAAGTAAGTTCAGTTTGAAACAGGGGAGAAAATGCCCAAATAAAGGGCAGTTCTCTGCCCCTCCTCTCCCACTCCCAAATCACTGGCCATTTGACCTCACAGTCATCCTGACAGTTTTGAAGTGGCCTTTCTTACATGAAACACCCTCATTCATGAGCCATCCTACAGCATAACATTAGACCATGACAATGCTACCCCTTCAGATGTCACCCAAGAGAGAGTGGGTTCAAAACAGCATCTGATAAATAGAATGATATTTCTCCATCCACCTGGCACTGAAAGGCAGGAGCACACATGCTTCTGGTGGAAAGAACTTGGTTATTTCACTTGGCATTAAAAAAAATAGTAATAATAATTTGCATGTCAGGTCTGTTGAGGTTTTCACATTTGGAGGTTGTATTTTTTGTTTGGGATTTTTCGAGCAGTTTCTCACAGCCTTGGCGACCTCTGTCTTATCACAACACACTTAAATCTCCAGCAAATGAAGTGGGGTGATAAAACTTTTAATTTAGAAGGTAAATGCCCAACCCTTATGACGGCAGAAAGAAGCTGGATAAGAAAATTCTGAAAACTAAGAGAAGGATGGATTTCTAAGGATTAAACCACCAGAAATCAAATTATAAGAGCCCAACTTTGCTGTTATCAGTAATAATATTAATTAAAATTCCACTATTTCAAAGAAAGCTCTTGCAGGGAAGGACTGGTTGATGGCCTTTGAATTTTTGTGAGTTTTCCTCTGTCATCAAATCCAGCCTTTTGTAACAGGTTCTGCCCATTCCTCAAAGCACAGGGACAGATCTGGTCCATCCTGATTTCGTATCAAGATCTCAACTGTAGAGTAATCATTACATCACTGAGTAGTCAAGGAGACAGAGCAGAAAGCGCTTTTCCAGATTCTGTCCAAAATCTTGGGGTCTTTCCTAGCACTGCCCAAAAAAGCATCCAGGATCACAAGAACTCTGCTCTACCTTTGCATTTATCTCAGTCCCGTATTTTCCTCAACTCCAGTTTGGCCATGGTTGCCTAAGACCCAAAGGGACCCATCCCATGTGGGAGCCCAGCATCACACAGGGGCAGCGGCTGGGCTGCGATTCGAGGGTCAGGGAGCACACACACTGGACAGTGGGGTTACACTAACATGCAGTCCATTTATTTTTGAGGGTTTTTTTCCTTTGTTCTGTGATTTATCTTTTTTTTTATCAAGCCACTGCAAACATTGCTTTGGCCGTCAGCATGAGCGCAGAGACACACATTCCCATACCCGTGGTAACTATGCAATAAATACCATCCAAACAAACTTTAAGAAAAATCAGTAAAGAAAGAAAAATATTCCTTTTCCCGCCCGCAAGCACAAAACACCGTTAAGTCAACAGAATTTAATCTAGTTTATTCTCAAAAAAAAAAAAAAAAGGAGGAAAAAATATGAAAACAAAACAAAACAAAAAAAAAAAGCAGGTCTTATCACTAGCAGTAAATAAATTTGTACAACCATTCAGTCTGTATAATAGGATGAAATAAATCTACATCTTTCTTATTTTGGTGCGTTGAATTATACATACAAACAACAATTACAGGAACTTGTTCACAATGCGTATAGACCTGGAGAATGGCTATCTGAAACCCCCTTGTTGGCAATGTCCGCATGTTAACACTGATTGCCTGACACCATTGGTACTTCCTATGTAAAAGGCCCGTGGCCCAAAAATGAATGATCTCCCTACAGCTTTTATTTATTTAGTTATTTAGTTAGTTAGTTAGTTAGTTAATGCATCATCAAAACCGTTCTAGCCAGCCCCCTCCCCCTCCCCGGAAACAAAGAAACCGAAAAGAAAACCAACAAAAAAAAAAAAATAAAAATAAAAATAAAATAAAAGGAGAAGACATGACTGGCAGTTGGTCCATTTGTTCGTAAGACCGCGTTTCCTCTTGGTCTGCATTGTTTGTTTTTCTGGTTTTTAAATTGTCCTCCCGTCTTCTTTTTTTTTTTTTTTTCTTTTCCTTTTAAAAAAAATTCTCTCGGAGTCCTTCATGCCTTTTTTTTTCTTTACAGCTCCTCAGATGCAATAAAGTCTTCCTCAAATGTACAGTATTTCTTACAATATAAGTTATATGCAATGTTCAGCGTTTTTTATTTTATTTTATTTTATTTTTTTCACAGCACTAGAGATCCTGTCCAATAGGGAATGCAAGTTCTGAATGGCTTATTCACAAATGGTATCCAGATTCAGTGGGTAAGAATACATAGACGCCATAGTGAGTTCCTTTAAAAAGTGGCAAACATCACTTTTTTAAAACTTTTTTTTTTTGCTTTTTCTCTTTTTTTCTTTTTTTTCCTTTTTTGTGCTTTTTGTAGTTTTTTTCTGTGTTTTTAATTTTTTTCTCTCTCTTATGCCTTCAAATAACCTTTTTTTTATTTTATTTTTTTTTAATCCTTTTTTTTTTTTCCCCCTCCCATTTGATTCGGGACGTCAGACCCATAACCACACGCCTGCAAAAATGCAAGTATATAAAGTAAATCTCATTTTGAGACTGTAAGCATTCAGCAGGGGAGTCTCTTGCTAACCCATAGCAGTGACCATACTGGAAGGATGGTGAGGTCCAAAGGAGAGGCTGGATGGAGGATGCATCGGTGTCGGTGTAGTCAGCATGTGGCTGGAGTGACTGAAAGGTGAAATGTGGCTGATGGAGGACATGTGTCTGGAGAGGGCGGCAGGGTTAAAGGAGCTGCTCTTGGGAAAGTCTTCGAGGTTGTCATGGACCTTTTTGCACTTTTTGGATTTGCTAGACATTTTTCGGTTTCTGGTCTGAATTCCTTCCTTCTTCATAGTCAGGGGTCTGTTAATCTAAACAAAAATCAATTATTTTTTTTGTGCTTCCATCCCTTCTCCCCAAATCACCATAGGATCCGTGTACCCCGTGCCCCGTATCCTGGGGCAGTGCCCAGCACCAGCTGGTCGGTAGCCCCCCTCCCTCCCTGTACACCCCACTTGCCATCGTTACACAACCTCTTCCCCTGTGCCATGGCTACACAAACACTCCCCATCCACCCCAAAATTCAGATCCCACCAGGACATCCCAAGTTTGGATATTTCTAAAGACAAGACAACAGAAAATTTCTGGCAGAGCCACACGGGAGCAAAACATACCCGAATAACTCACAGTGGCTGAAAAATTTCAGCTATCTGCACATTAGGTAATTGCACCGTGTTTAGGAACAAAACCAATCATTATCACCTAGAAATATTCCCCACAGACACCATCCCACCCCAAGGCTTCCTGTCTGATCTAAAACCATTATCAGCAAGAGTTGCTGGGATTTCAGTGCTATGAGGGGTCTCAAACTTTCACAGTGGCATTAGGGAGCTGGGTAACTCTTTACAAAAGTGTCAGGTCTTTGTCTTATTTTTCTGCTTTCCAAAGATTTTTCTCTAATCATTCTTTCTGGTTTACTTTAGCCAATCTGATTTTACTTCTAAAGCCTTTCAGGGTTTTTTGGGGGGGTTGAAACAGGTATCTGTGCTGCCCAGCAGAGCATTTTCTACTTGCATACAAACATATCTGTAGTAAAATTAAACATTAAATTCTCCTGCATGGATCTACACAGCAGCAATTATCATCCATCAGGGTTAGGAAGTGGTAGCAAAAATCTGTTGGACCCCCTGTAGAAAACACTTATTACTCTAGGTTGTTCTGTGTAGGGTCAGGATTTGGACTTTGATGATCCTAATGGGTCCCTTCCAGCTCAGGCTATTCCACAATTCTATGAGTCTGTGCTGCATAGAGAGACAGCATCATAATATGCACTAGCACATGTGACATGAAACCCCCACAAACCACACTTGGGAAGGGATTTATGCATCCAATATCTGTAAACAACCTTAAAAATATGGACTTGGGGGTCTATGTGGGTATTGCACTGGCTCCCCTGCAGGATTTCACCTATAGCAGAAGGCAGAGGAGCCCAGCAAATCACCTTGAGGCTGAACCACCCTTCTTAATAAATGTGAGCACGTGACGGCACAAGGGGCATTCTGCAAGAGGGAGAAAAGGGAGAAAAGATGAACCCCCTATCCACTGGGATCTACTGTCTCAGACCCAGAAAAGGACAATGGAAAAATGTGCCTGCAAGGGCCCTGAGCAGCTCTTCACCCATAAGACCTTAAATCAGCACAAGGAGCAAAGCATTCCCTTCTACGTGAACACAGCAAAGTTTCACTTGTTGCTCTTCATTCCTGGTCCTTTTCCCCACAGCATGTGAATCATTCTTGGATTTCTCTCCCCAGGGAAGCTGGGATACAATAACTCCCTGTTACATGCAGAGATGGAGGCACAGGAAGAGGAAGGACCAGGCTCATCTCCAGTTTAGGCATTCCCAAAGTTCATCATGCCAGTCTGAATTCGTGACCCCAGGTTCTCTGCACCGGCAGTGATAGGAACCTTCACCTCATCTAAAAATGGGTGAATTTTTACATGATTCCTCTACCTCAGGATGAAGGGATCATGAAGGAGCTGCCCTGCTTGCCAGCAGCTAAATTTAGGAAGGATCTGCCCATGTGCAGCCCAACAAGAGCCCTGGGGCAGCAAGAAGCAAAACTTCAAACGTGATGGGCTCCAAATGCAACACTACCTGTCTCCCTGGGTTCCTGTCCTCACTGAGGGAATGGGGATCCACACAAAAGGAAGGACCTTTGCTCCAGATCAGTGATTGGGACGGGAAAGCTTTGCCTGGTCTGTTTTCAGTCAGCCAGCAGGGATGTGTTGCCCAGGTTCAAAACCAGGAGGAAGTAGTAAGGGAGCCCCACCAGGCAGCAATGCTGGAAGGGACCAGAAAGTCTGAATCTGTGATGAATTCCATCTCAGATTTGAGGAGGCCCACACAGCCCCAGCCTCCCCAGCTTCTAATGAGGATTTGTATCATGACACAAAGATCCAGGACCAGCCAGAACTAATTTGCAGGTGAAGCAGCAAAGGTGCAAGCTCGGGAGCTGGTGGTGGCAAAGTGACATAAGCCTGGTGCTGGACTGGGGCTGTGCTGGGTCTTGGAGCAAGCACCTGGTCCTGACCCTGTGTTGCTTGGTGTCATGTCCTACAGGACAGTGAACACCTCCTCAGAGCAACATGTCTCATGTTTCACTCAGTCTCTTAGAACAGGTTGGCCCAGGCCATGATTTGATGTGAAACTCAAGGATGGGAATACCGGTTTTGTTCAGGATGGTGGCAAAGCCATGGCCAGCCCCACCACCGGGGTCAGAGCTGCCATCCAAGCTGTTGGCTGGACACATCATCCCAGTGTGCATGGTCTCACACTCCTAGCAGGTAACCAATCCAAGTGCAAATAGATAAGAACTCTGATAAATGCAAGAAAGAGTGAGACCAGCACAGCCGAAGCAGCAAGCTGGAAAATTTTTCCAGTGACTTCAAAGACCATTCACAAGCAGGGTTAAAGTGGTCCCCAAAACATCAAAGGCATGGACCCATCTCTGTTTCTGGGGTAGAGAAATGAAAGACCCAGAGGGAAGACCTTGTCTGTGAAAATTCATTCTGATAAAAATGACAAACACATGCTAAATTAAAATTAAACCAGCCGAACGCATGTATATGAAATTCATTAATTTCAGATGGAGCCAATTAATTATGGGCAGGAATTATGCTCTTTGTTTTATCATATGCAAAATACTGACTGCTCTGCTCTTGGGACACACAGCCCTGCTTTAGGGTATTGTGAAAGGGGCCTTTTCTGATGAATTTTGCCAAAAACAGTGGTAAATCACTCACTTCTATGGGCACAGGCCAGTTTGCTGTGAACCTCCAGCAAGGTACACACTCCCACCCATCCCTGAAGTGCACAAAGGCTCATCCCGCTTCTAAAGACTGAAATAACAAGGATGAGAACCTCATATTCAACAGATCAAATGCAGGGGATAGTCTTAACCATTATAGGTCTGATCTTGCTCTGACTGAAGACAATGGGATTTTGCCATTGACCTCAATAAGGTCCTGTCACTGAAGCGGATTTATCCTTCAGACATAGTCATTACAATGTTGGGTTAATCTTCCAGGCTGGCTGTATCTTAGAAAGCACTCTGGGATGCCACAGGATGAAAGGCACCGTATCAATGTGAAATATTAGTCATTGTTAATACTGGTGTTAATGGAGCCGGCTCTTGTTGAAGTCAGTGGGAGGAATGCCAACAGCTCCACTAAATGCACCCCAAGACTATTATGATTATTGCTTATATCCTACTGACAAATGGGTTTGCTTAAGCTGTGGGAATCAACAGTAAAACAAACTGATATAGCTCCGTGAAAAAAATGAACACCATGGAAAAAAATAGCCTTTTCACTGCAGTCATTCCCGGTGTGGACATAAAATCTGGGTAAGTTTCAACTGCAGATCAATCCATGAAAATATGCTAATGATGTTAAGGTCCGAGAAAATTTCATTAAACCGAAAGAAAAGAAAAAATGGGGAGGGGGATGGATAAAAAAGTAGCCAGGAGTTTGCTACAGCCTAGCCCGAAACAGGTTTAAGGCATCTTCTGAGCACCCAGACATTCCACTGTCATTGGCACAACATCTGTGCCGACCCTCAGGTGCTTGGGAGGGACATACTACAATCAGCCTCTCTATTCCTGATGCCTCTCCTGATGTAAAACCCGCAGAGAAAAGATACACGTGGGGAGCAGGCTCACACTTCTTACTGCATCATAGTTAAATATTTTAAGAATTTCTTTTTTTAAAAAAGGATCTACCCACTCATATCTAGATTTTAGTACCCTTGCCTACTTATGCTACTGCACACAGCATCTAAGTCCTCTGGGGGTTTCATTTAAGCAGGTCCCATTAATGGAGTTGCTCATAAGGCAAGATACTACTTGACTTTGGTAAGTAGCTCTGCTGAGCTTTTAAGCAGCTGTTGGAGTTTTTAATGAACATGAAAATGGTTCCAATGTGCTCAAGGCCTGCCCCATGTCACAGATTTCACAGCTGGATCTGCGTTTCCCTAAACAGTGGATCTGGGGGTCAACTCAGGCCAACCAGGTTTGCAATGTCAGTGCAAAAAAGAAAAGGATGTGCTCTTGCAGGCACATTACTGGAGACCCCCAGCACTCAGACACCATTCCAGACACCTTAGGAAGGATTCCTCCAGTCAGATGTCTACAATGAAGGTAGACACTCATCATCCTGCCCTGTTTCTGGGGAGAAACTACATCATCTTCAAGGGCCCAAGTCATCTCATTCAAACACAGGCACCAACCAGTGTCATTTGAGAAGAGCCTATTTTCTACAAAAGGCTTTGCTGGATACAGGAAATGTAGCTCAGGTATAGGTCTCCCAATAAATTTCCCAAACTACACAATTTAAGTCCTACCGCTGGTGACTACAAGACCAAAGTGAAAACAGAGCACAAGCACGGACTCCCCCGGTGAAGTTGGCTGACCTTGCTCCCTTCTTGCCAAGGAAATAGCAAACAGAATATTTTCTTGTGATATTCTGAGAGCTTTCACTCTGGGTCCAGCCTGTTTGTTTGCAGTGATCACACTGAGAGTTTGATGACAAGCTTTGCTTGCTACATGGGACTCAAAACGTGCTGAGACACCTGCCCGCTAAAGAGTAAACACATTTTCCTTTTTTCCAAGAGAGATGCCTCCCATGAAACAGGTGAAAAATTAGCCTGGTTGTTTGCTGGCGTTTTTTTCTACTTAATCCAAACTTGTTTACTCATCCTAAGAAACCAAAGAGCTTGAAATAACAAATGGAAGAGACTGAGACACAACATGGGTTGGGTGCCCCATGAAACACGGCATGTCTTTGATGTGTTTGCACGGGTGGACATAAGGGCAGAACACAACCCCATATTTCTAAACCAAACATAAAGTAATCAACCATTTGGGAAAAAAAAAATAAAACTTTATCAAAGCAGAGAAATTGCAAGCCTTTTCCTCCTTCTGACATAATAATTATTCTAATGCCACGTGGAATGAAAGTAACAGGAGTAGCCTTAAGTGTCCTTTATTAGTACTATTATTCAGTACAAAACTTTTCAGGTCCCTTTAGCTCTTTCCCTGGGGCACATATCCCTGGTTCCTGCAAGCTGGTTTTGCATGGAGATATTAGATTAAATCTGTCAGCCATTTCATTTCATTTCTCCTTCCCTTCCATGACAGATGCTTTAAAATTCACATCACAGGTTGAGCAGACTCCGCAACCCACTAACTAAATCAAGTCCTTTTTTGGTTTAGGAGTCGCTTGCGTCAAAGAGGGCAAACACAAGACCAAAATAAATCATCTTTGGGGACTGGACAAAGGCAGCCACAAACCCAAGAATGATCTAAATGCTGGCACATTTTGCTTTTTTCTCCAGAGTTTGTATTTGCTGGAGGAACCAAGCTACACATAGTAGGGGTATCAGCTTGCAGGACAGCGTGTTGTCTTTTCCAACCCTCTGAGCCCAATCAGCAGCAGATAATGTCTCTCTGTGTTGATCCACCCCTCCTTTCTTGGCTCAGGCATGGGAAAGCTCTAACATTACCCATGGATAACCCTGTTTTATACCTTCCCAAGTTGGACAGGCTATGTTTGAAAGGCTGGCAACTCATCCCTCCAACCCCCAAGGTCCCCAAAGGGATAACAGGGTCTCTTCCACACAAGACTGGAAATCCTTAAGTCAAGGAAGAGTTTGGACCATCAAGCACTGGAGCTGAGGCCCTGTAATTGAGTGTTACAGTCACACTTACATTGTGCAGCTTGTAGTAGAGCCCGCAGGCGTTACAGACGGGATCGCCGTTGGCATTTCTCCTCCACAGGGTGGTAGTGGTGGTCTGACAGTTTGCACAGGACGTGCCCGCCCTCCTGGCTGCAGACTGTGGGAAGGAGGGAGAGAGACAAGGGAAGAGAAGGAGAGAAAGAGGAAAACACCCGTGTTAAAAAAAAAAAAAAAATTAAAATAAATGCGATCAGCAAAATTTCTGAGAAAGAAAACATCAACCCTGCAAGACTGACGCACATCGGCAGAGGCCTCCAGAAACTGACTTGTGAGAACAAATAATAATTGTGAAAAAAATCCCCGAGGTACTTTAATCCCAAATTATATGTGAACTGAATCAGGTGCCAAAGGGCATCCTAAAAGTGAGTGCTAAAACCTCCGATAGAACTCATCAAAATTAGCAGCGCTGGCACAGCCCATTCCAGAGGGGAAAATGTTATTTAAATGCCAACGTGTCTTTCCATCTTAACTCTCCCAGACCCCCCGAGGGGTCTAATTCTGCAGTCAGGGCCTGAACAGTCAACGGGCATGAGTCACGGCGGCTCCGGCGAGCGCCGGGTGAGACCCGGGTGGGCAGCTGCTCGCCGGGACCGACCGCAGGCACAGCCCGGTCCTGCAAATTCAGCTCAGCTTCAAAGGATACAGGATCCAGATCGGAAATAACACTGTGGCAAAGAGCAAGAATCCCAACTTTTTTAATTACACCCTTTTTGCAGCCCAAACCTTCATGTTTATTTAAGAACTGGTAAAGAGCCCGAGAGCAGGATTTACCATTTCAAAAAGGGGTAGGAACGAGGAAAAAAAAAAAAAGTCTATGTGCCAAAGTGTATAGAGAAGCTCTTTCTTTTAGCTGTGATAATGATTTAGCAAAGTCAAATTTAGTAAAGTCGCTCTCCTTTCACATGCATGAATTTGTGTTATCATTTAAAAATTGTAACTTTAGAAAACAAATTGCCCTTCTGCCACTGAAGGAGGAACAGGAGTTTTCGGACTGCTGCGTGAGCGCATGAGTTTTTGCGTGTGTGCAAGTGCCTACAGCTCCTAAAAAAAAAAAAAAGGCCTTTATATCCCATCCTATCTCTTCTTCATCAATATGACACAGTCCCAGAGCTCTGATTTCATCCCCATGCGTTGCTTTCAATGGGACTGCTCATGTGCTTAAAGTTAAAACATGTGCTTAAGCGATTTGCCAGATCATAGCAATGCTTGGCACCTTGCAGAACTGAGCCTTTAATGCTCTCTTTTGTGCTCTTACTGTTTCAAATTTACCCCTCACCCCACACAGCCGCACACTGTGGTGCATCCAACATTTTAAAAAAAAAAAAAGAAAGAAAGAAAATACCACATCTTTGGATACCGTACAACAAACCCAAAATGCAAACATGGACACTGGCACAGCGTTAGCGTTAATACCAACTCTTGTTAGGTCATGTTGCAATTTTAATCATAATTGAATGCGGCGTAGGTGGAGAGAGAACGGGTTGGTTTTGCTTTAGATAGAGGAGAATTTTTTTTTCTTTAAATTAGACAAAAAGGACTGTCTAAAAAATAAATAAGACAATGCCCACGAGCATTAGGAAGCATCACAGAGGGCCTGGTCTGGCAGTAAGTGGCTCTCCCGGGCTGCCTTTGGGGACAGTTCCATTTTGCTTGACCATAAACCACTCTGAGCCGAGCCGATCCCAAGCCTGAGGAGGCCTTTAACTGACTTCTCCATGCTGATGACCAGCAGGAGCTGGGAACAGTAAATGGGTCTCTGGCTGCAAAAATCCCAGTGCCAGAAGATAAAGCATCCCACCATGAGAACAGCAGAGCCCCAAATTCATGTGTAGCACACACACTTCAGTCCTGCCTTCCTCACAACCATGCCACAGACCCAGATTTTGTTCCCATCAAAATCACCAGGATAATGAATGTGCTTTAAAAGTAGCTCAGAGACAACACCTTACAGAACTGGGTTCTCATTGAGAGCTGGGGGATGGGTCTACAGGTCTCTGCCACCCAGCTCCCGCCAGGAAGCACGTGTGGCTCCGAGGGGCACGAGTGGCTCCGAGGTTTGGATTGAGCCTTTCAGTGGCAGCTTTGCCCTTATCAGACCCAAAAATCAAGCCTAAGGAAATTTCTAAAAACCAGTGATATTTGACTCAGCCCACACAGGGGAAACATCCCCTTTGAAGATATTTGGGGTTTCTACATGGTGCTCACCGTAATTTCTCTTACTGCAAGCGCGTTCAAAAGACACGCCTGGTCACCACCTTGCTGCCTTCAAACAAACTCTGACATTAAATAAGCAAATAAATCACAACATCCACTGTCTTCTCTAAAACCTCTTCCAACTCCTGTATTTCCCCTATGAAAATTCAGCATCATTAGCTGAATATTTTAAGCTCTTTCAGTCCCAGAGTGTACCTTTTATGCTGTACCAACTTCTACCAGAGACACCGGCAGTGGCCAGGAAACAAAGAATAATAACACTATTGTAAAGCTCCCAGGAATGGCATCCACTGAGCTAATCACCGACTAGGGGCCTGGCCATGTCAGTAATGGGATGACTAATTAGCTGCCCCATATCATCTGCAGGACCAGGCCCCATGGCCCAGCTGCCTGTGAGTCCACAACTTCAGAAGTACTGGCAGGGATGAGAAGGTGGAATTGAGGAGGGTGCAGTAGGGACCAAATGCTGATAAGGATGATAAATTAAGGGGCATTTTCAGTGTCTGGATTTATCCACAAAGTCACAAGCATCAGTTTCCTAAAATATGATTCCATGTGCATGGGCTTACTGAGAAATTGGCTGTAATCCTTCCAAAACCAACGTGACTGGACATGGAAATGGAGAGCTCTGCATCCACATGGAAAGGGAAAGGGAGAAAAACTAAAAGAAGGGTTTCTCAGCAGTGACAAGGCTGTCACTGGCTGTGAGAGGGACAGGAATGGCCTCCAGTAGGGCTGTAGACCTTTTAAACAGAGTGATGGTACCATCTGCCTGTTCTTGATCATCCCACCAACATCTCCACATCTTCCACCTTCCCCCGAGATGAAGCAGAGCTGTCTGAGCCTCCACCCAGCAAGGCTCCATCCATCCCACCTAAAGGACACCCTTACAAAAACACTCATTGAATTTAACAAGGCTCTGGCTGCGTTCTCAGCACCTCAGAAGTTCTTTGCCTCCTCTCTCCCACCCGTTGAATCCAATCATTAGTTTCAGCTAATCATCAGCTGTGACCAGAGCCTACAAAACCATCCCAAGGTCATGCAGGAAACTTGAGGCAGAGAGAAGGAGCTGGATGGCCACCCTGAGCCTCCATCCACACGCTGCCTTCCGCCTACCATCACAAAGCAGGAGAGATCCAGTCAAGCCACAGCCACACGCACATCCAGGCGCACAAAACGCAAACACGGGCCCAGCTTCAGTACCTTCTGATTGTTTTTTTTAATCAGAGGTTAGCAAGAGAAATAAATAGAGATGCAAACAGCATTAGGGATGTTTTTCTTTCTTTTTTCCCAGACAGTGCTAAGTGGGGGGAAAAAAAAATGTAGAAAAATCAAATTTCACGTTTAGGAAAGGTCGCATTCAAAGAACGGGAACTTTTTGTAACTTAAACTTTAACTAAAATGCCGAAAGATTGGAGCGATTATGCAAGACAAGGTCTCTCTTTACTTCTTTTCTTTCTCTCTCTTTTTTTTCCCCCAAGAATGACCTTTTACTATGTATTTATTTATATAGTTCATTTTACATGTGCCGGGCTCGGGGTGACTCGGGACATTCTTTCGTGGTTCCATCAGACACTTTTTGAAAGCTCTCCCCCCCTTTTCCAGCCGCTTTCCTATTCTGCCTCCCCCTCCGCCTGTTTGGATATGCTCAAGCTCCTGTGTGTTTGGGTTGGGGAAACGGAGCTGTTGTTTAGGAGTTATCTCCAGGGCTCAGATATCCGGCAGCTTTTTCCTAGGAAGTTAACTTTACACATAAAGAGAGAACGAGGAAAAAAAAAAAAGAAATAAAGAAAACGAGGGCTGTGTGTATAAGACAGAAGGACCGGGGGGGGAGGAGGAGAAGAGAACAAGAGAGCTGCCCAAAAAAAAAAAAAAATCAAAATTCCAGCCTGTACTTCCCTCCCTAGAAAGCTTTTCCTTTTTTCTAACAAGGCTATGAAAGATGAGGGAGACAGATATTTTCCTATATGGGAAAAGCCCATGGAGAGGTTTTGTACGCAGGAAGTTTGGGGGATAGAGCAACAAACCCACAACTTCCCCAAAACTCACACGACCAGACAGAGCTGTCACTGCTGCTCTCCACAGCATAACCCCTCCTGGGAATGTACTGCAAATGCATCCCAGTGCCAGAGGGAATAAAGCAAATCCAATTTTAGGGGCATCTCCCAGGTGAGGAAGCTGATCCACATCTAAGAGCTGCCGGACAGAGGCCATGAGCACCTTCACGGGGAATGCAAAGCCAATGAACCAGCCCTCTCCTGCCTGCAGTGTCTGTCCATGCCAGGCACAAGCCTCACACAACTGGTCAGACCCATCCATCAGCTCAGAAATTCCATGGAGAGGTGAGAGCCACTTTTCCTCCGCATTTTGAGCAGCTCTCAGGAGCCCTTCCACACCTTTAATCCTAACGAAACCAAACGTGCCTCAATTCGAAACATTCAGTAACTTCCCAAGCAGTGACCATAATTTTTTCCCCCTCTTGATATACTTTTTTCCCCTTGTGATCTGCCAAATATACTTCAGCATATTTATTAGCCATGCCCACAGCTTCCAGACCTTTTTGTGGCTTCCAGGGAATTGCATGAATAGATCGCTGAGGATGCCGAAGTGTGTTGCCTGTACGTAGAACAGTTGTCACAGGCTTGTAACTATTATTTCAAATGTTTACCCGCACATTTCATCTTCCTCCAGCTTCTGTGGCCTGGGCACACACTCGGCTTTGCACACCCCCATCCCCTGCCTTGTGCCCTCACTCACACCAGCTTAAAGGGGAATGACACAATTTGAGACCCAGATGGCACAGGCACAAATGACCACACCGGGTACCAGCGGCACCAGGACCTGATGGTTCAAGATCTCTACAGAACCAAGGTCTGTCCAACGCCCCACTGGCACCTGGGATCCAGTTTGGGTCCCTTCTCCATGACACCCCCAGCCAAGGGGGATGGAGACACATGTAAGAAGGTGGAAGCAGCAGTCTGGAGAGCCCAGCAGAAATCCTGTTCTCCTGATAATCTCTTTGGTCACTAGGAAAGTATTATTCTGCCCTTAAGCCCTGGTAAGAGCCACCATCCATGGGTCATCATCCAGAAGCACTGTGTGGAGGCATCTGTCCCATTGTGACCTGGGAGAAAACTCAGTTCTGGTTTGCAAGAAGCCCTGGATCTTGATTTTTTAACCTGTTTTGCAGTTTGCAAGAGGACCAGACAATTGAGGCCCACAGCAGCTGGGATCATCTCTCCCAGCATCCCTTTCTCACAGCCCTCTGACGCTGTGAGACCAGTGGGAGCTGGTTGAGATTCCCTGTCCATCCCGAGCTGCAGATAGGAAGCAAAAGTTGCGGAAGAAGAAAAAGAAAGAATAAAATAGAAGGAGACTCACCAGCCTTCTCTTGGGTTTGATCAGGGGCCGGTTCTGCCCGTTCATTTTGTGATAGAGTCCGCAGGCGTTACACAAATAGTGCCCGGTGCCGTCTCTTCTCCACAGGGGGGTTGAGGTAGCCCCACAATTTACACACTCCCTGCCTTCTGGAAACAAGAGAGCACACAGTTCACTTAGGGAAATCAGAAGTGAAATGAGCTGGGGAAAGCCCTCCTCCCACCAGAACAATTCACAACCTCCCAAGAGACCCAGCCATGCCCGACCCTGCCAGTCTTCCCCAGGCTCAAGGATGTCCAAGCGAAGGTCCAAGGCCATGACTGAATGATGTCCCTGTCACAGGGGAATCTGGTGGGTTCTGATCCTGTTCCCTTCCCCAGCACCACTGTGCAGGCAGCATCAGGCCTGTGTCCCAGCAGTAGGAAAGAGGGATGGTGGCAATGACAATCCAAATGCTGTGGTGGCTCAAGGGGCTCCATGGAGAAACTCTCACTCCTCCTGCAGGTTTCTCCTTTTGTGGGGGGAGGGCGACTGACAGTTTCCCCTCACCTTTAGATTAAGCACTTCTACAACTTTCCAGTCCCCATGTTGCCATATGGACTAGACAAACTTTGGTAGGCTTTGCAAGAAGCCTCCAACCCTCTACCCTTGTTTGGATACAGAATTTAAGTCCATACCCATCTTTCTGATGTGTATGAGGACCCTGGTGTCACCCCTAGAGCTCCAGGGGTGTGCATGAGCCTGGGGGGCTCTACCTCTGACCTCAGGTCAAACCACATCAAGGATCCCCAAAATAATCACAGATTAACAATCAAAACATCTCCCTAGCCCCAGCCAGTGCACAAAAACTCTGCCAATATCTGCTATTGATTAATTTGCAATTAAGCTTCCACCACCCAAAACTTGCAGAAACCCTTCTGGATTCTCTGCAGCATCCACAGCCTGAGGGTCCATCCCTGCTGTCTGGGATAGCAAACAGCCCCAAGCCTGCCTGAGCCCTCATTAAGGTCTTTCCCTCCTTCTCCTGCTTTTGGGCAACACTTTATCCTCTCCCTGGGTATTGCAGAGGGCAATCTCCCCCAGCCCACCAGTTCCCAGTTTGGGGGAAGGAACTGGGAGGTTGAGGACATGCCTCTCAGCTACTTCCAGAGGATTGAGGGGTTTTAAGTTGGGTCTTTGGTTTATTAGGGGAGGTTTTCTTGTACTTAATGCCACTTGTGGCCGACCTGAGAGCAGAAGCAGACCTCAGCCGGGCAGAGCAGAGTGAACTCAACAGAGCCAACTCCCTGCTGCCCCAGCCTGTGCTGCCTTCGAGCAAGAGGCATCCGTGCCCTAACCACAAACAGCAACCGTCTTTCCAGAGCCTTTGCACTGAACCCTTCTCCTCTCACCCCCCCCCCAACAACAAAAATATAAAAATACTTTTGCAACCATTTCTCCCTCTTCCATCCTGGAAAAACACCCTCTCCCTCCTTTTTCTCCGGCTCTAACC